AAAAAAAAAAAAAAAAAGAGCAGGTAGAGTTTCTTCTCCTTCTCTCGTTTTTAAAAATGAACAGAGTCTCTGTGCCTCTAATGGGGTAATTGTTCTACATGCAAGACAGAAGTTCAACAGGTGTGGCTTCCAGCGCTTGGAGGGTGTTGAATTTTCAGCCTGCCATGCTGATGTCAGAGAGAGAGAGAGAGAGCCCTTAGCTACAGGTTGAGGAAGTAACTTTTACAAGCTGCAACTCTATGAATGCCTCAGGGAGTGTGAAGCATTCTGGAAGTTGTAGTCAAAAAAAGATAGTTCCTCAAGCTCTGGGGTGGGTCAAAATGCCTTCTGGTGAGCTCTCTCCAAAATAAAAGTGCTCTTGAAACAATGTGGTCTCCAGTGTTGGCCGCTCTTCAGCCTTGCCCTGTTTTAAGTCCACACGCTGCCTTCCAGGGCATTCTGGGAAATGAAAATCAGTTTTGCTTCCTTCTGTGTCCTGAGGTGATGCCTTGTGCTGGGTTAGAACCGCCAGAGATCTGACAGAAGTAGCTGCCTGAGGCAGAGCAACAAATGGCTCCAACACCCACACTAGCATTAAACTACCCAAAGCCAGTCAAGTAATTTTGGCATGGCAGGCAAAAAAACAACAACAAAAAACAAAAACAGAACAAAACAAACCCCTCAAGTGTTTTCCTTAAAAAAAATCAGCAACACCAAATTAAATCACTAGCCCTTATTTGTTGTTGTTTTTTTATGACACTTCAAATCTGCTGCCTGAGGTTGTTGCCTCTCTCTGCCTAATGATAGGGTTGGCACTGTTGTGTAAAAGATGTTATCTAGTGGATTTCCACAGGGCACTGCAGGACAAAAACCAAGTAGACATTTTTGGAAGAGATGCTGCTGCTTTCCAAGGAGCCAGACCTTTGGTATATCTATCCCACCTTTCTCTGATCGGGGGGGAGGGGGGACAGGTTAGTTTGGATTACAATGTCCATCACCCACAGCCATGTGAAAAATATGGGGTTATGGTTCAGTACAGTACATCTGGCGAGGGCCTGACTGGGAAGGATGAGTAGCTCAATGACTTGTCCACACTCGTCAGTTCTTTCCCAACCAGGGCTGGTTTGTGGCATTTTGAAGCCTGAGGCAAAGGACAAAATGGCACCCATACTCTGCTACATTCCACACAGAGCTGACTCATCCGTTAGCAGTTGAATCATACTTATACACTGGCAAATGCATAAAGTTCCCCAGTATACCTGAGGACAGAAGAGTAGGGTTTAGGAGAATGAGACAGCATTGTGAGACAAATATTGTACTGCCATCTAAGAGAGAGAAATTGGTCAACAGGCCCAGAAGGAATGGTTAAGGGCTTCCACTGTTGTTAACCAACAGCATTTCCCACCTGAAGTGGTTGTTGCATTCTGCCTAATGATAGGGCCAGACTTCTTCCCAGCCTTGCTAAGCTTCTCTCTCAAGAGGGATCAGCCCATATTGTAGACGGCAGGTGCAGCTGTGTTAGCAGCTTCTGAGGCAAACACATGTGCTTCGAAGAATACTGAAAATTATTGCTATAGCAGTCAATGACCATCAGTGGTAGATATGAGCAGAAGCTATGTAAAAAGTTGTTTAAGGCTTCAGATTATGAAGGATTAGGATAAAACTGTTCTTTTAAATACTGTTGGAATAATACATATTTATTTCATAATGCTACGAGGTGTCTCAAACTTGACATATGTTAGGCCCTGTGGTGTTGGCGTGTTGACTCTGGAGACCTGTCTTCAAGAGCCACACAGCACAGTGAAACTCAGAGCGTGATGACATGGAGAAATAACTTGCAATTTGGGCTGCTTATGGAATGGTACAGTGTGATATTTCCCAGCGCTCATATGATATGCAGGGAAATGTGCTGCAGCCTGACCCCAATCTGTGCCCAAGCTAGACCTTTTTGGTTCAGCTGAAAGGCTTCTACTTTCTGGGCATGGACTGGTGTGATGGTCCAGTTGACAGAAGGGGAATGGAAAGGAAAATGCTTCCATTAAAGTGTCCGGTGTGATCAGGTGTGTGTGCCTTTGAAGCCATCTGAATGGAAAGGAAAATGCTTCCATTAAAGTGACTCTGTCCGATGTGATCAGGTGTGTGCGCCTTTGAAGCCATCTAATGGCTCCTTCGGTGGATTATTTCGAACCAGCCGCATTTGACCCACTTTGCAGGATTGTCGTGAGGGCAAACTGGGAAAGAGGAGATCCATGTGTACTTCCTGAGCTCTTCAGAGACAAGATGGGATATAAATGTCTAAAACACAGTATTTATCTGTATAAAACGCACCACCACCATTGTGTCAGCTTCCAATGTGCAGTAGACTGAATGTGGGATTTAGGAAATCTGTGATCACAGTTTCAGCCCCTGAAAATCCACTGTCTCTCAACCTCATTTTCCTGTCTGTAAAACTAGGAATAGACAGCCTTCCTCATCAAGCTGTTAAAAGAGCAAATATGGTGTTTATGAAACGCTTGCTGCTTCTTTCACGCAACATTTACATTTAAAGCACCAATGTTTAAAACTCTTAAACATTCTTACAAACAAGCACCAATGTTTAAAACTCTTAAACATTGTTACAAACATACAAGTATTTGCATTTTATATTGAAATTTCTCCAGTGCTTCATAAATATGCTACGACCTGTGACGTCAATCTATCTATAGATAAAGATGTGAAACATTATGTACACATAGAGGAGTGAATTACGCATATGAAAGCATTAACAACAAATGTGAATGGATATTTGTTATATGAGGGGGTCTCAGCAGCAGAATGGGGCCACTGTCTCTTTTGCCATATGCCTCGCCAGGGGTCCTCCTCAAAGCCCACTGGGTACAGTAAAGGGAGTGAGGCTTAGGCACCCAATGAGGAGAGAAGGTGGGAAGTGGGTGGAGCATGGACAGGGTATACAAGATGATGCTGCCTCCTCAGTCCCAGCATTTTGTGGCACCCAGATAGTCAGAGACAGGACTGCAGACAGCTTCAGGATGGCCAGCTTGAATCTTTACACCTTGTTTCTGTTCTTGTGCCTGGCTGGGATCAGCCTGCAGGGAGGTAAGTCTGGCTGCTACAGATGAAAGGGGGAGAAAGGATGAAAGGTCTCTGCGTACAGAGAACAATTTTCTTTTTTAAAAAGAGAAAATAAAATATAGTGCTTTCATCAAAAGAATGGGTAAGCTACGTATTAGATGAAAATTCTCAGAATTTCTCAGCACAGTCAGGCCATCCTGGCTGGCCGATTCTAGGGGTGGAAGCCCAAAAATTAGCTTTTCCAAACTCTTCCAGTGATGAATAAGAGAGACAAGAAAGGAGTTCGTAAAAATCTAAACTCACTTTCTTTTTTCCTGTATATTTGCCTGTCTGTTGTCTTTGATACATGCCTGTCTGTTGACCATGATTTTATTTATTGCCAGTCTCTTTTCCCCATGGTGATATGAGGCTGATGATGCTATTTGAATTTTGTAGCTGATAAAAATATAAAAAAAATCATATATAGTGGTGTTTTTAAGATGTAAGCTTTAAAGATCAGGATGTCTTGAGGGCATATGAAACACAAAGGGAAGTCGTACAGCACATGCAGAAGCTAAGGAATTGATACTAGGTAGATCCACTCTACATTCTGTAAGAAGTCAACACTTTACAAAGTGTGGAATTAACTCTTAGTTCCCTTACACTTTACAAAGTGTGGAATTAACTCTTACCCCCTCAGTGCTTCCACTGAGTGTCCTAATAGAAGGATGCAAAGTCAGGGTTATTATGCACCTTAGACGTAAAGGGACTTATTGTTTACTCTAAGGCAAGTGTGCTGTCAAGATAGAATCATGAACTGCTAGAAAGCTCCGTGGGTTGGGAGTTCCCTGTCATCCCCTCCTTGATAGGGGTTGGACGACGATCCATACAGTCCCTTCCAGCTTTGCAATTCTAAGATTATTATTATGTACTGCTGCAGTTATGAGCTGCCTATGGACAGAGCTCCAGGGTGGAAGTTCAAACACCTTCTCTAGCATCAATAAGATAGTTGCCTTTGAAGGAAGTGAACAAAAGCAATAGGAATGAAACTTCAAAGGAAGTGGGCTGATGGCAAAGGCTGTAAAATCATTAAGTGTAGAATTTTCTAGCTGCCCCATAGCCCAATTGGGACTTTGACTTCTGTAAATATCTTTTAGTTTCCACAGACTTACAGCACACATTAGATTTTGAGCATAAACACAGAAAAACATTCCTCAAAGCATTTTCCATTGAAAATCCCCAAATGATATCTATTCTAAAGAATTAGAAAGGACCCAGTTTTCTTTCCACTTTGGAGAAGTAAAACATCAGTGCTTGTTGGGACCTCCCTTCATGACTTGCATTTCATTTTCTGAAGAAAATGTTGTGCCAAAGTCAGTTCCAGTGCGAATGTAAAATCTATAGGTTTGGTAGAGGGTTTTTTCAGTCCATGGGTAATGTGCTGGGGAAGAAGGCAAAAATAACAGTATGGTAATAACTCTAACAACAACAACAATGAAAAAACTATAAAGCTGCAAGCAATCTTTTAACAACAACAACAACAACAACAATGAAAAAACTGTAAAGCAGCAAGCAATCTTTTGAAATCCTCAGAAGCCCTCATCAAAGTAGATGTTAAGGGACAAGAGAAACCAGAGCCTGGGGAAAGTTAGAAAATGATGTTCACAAATTTTTGCTGAAATTCTAACTGGATTAGAAGTCTGATGGACCCACTCTGGATTGCATTAACATCAGGGATAGTCAAAAGGTCTGTGTCAGGGGAATGATGGAGCAATTTACAGCTGTCCCACCCATAACTTAACCTTCTCTAACCCAGTGTCATCTAGACTTATTCATCTACAACCCCCAGAAGCCTTAAAGGATTATGGGTGTTACCATCCAGACCAAACAACTACTCCATACTGGGATGATAGACGAGAGCAGAAGATTACATAGTCCCCCACCTGTCATATTTTGGGTACAGGATTGTGCTTGCAGACTGAGATCCCACAGGCACCAATCTATCAGTAAGCTCCACTCACTCATTTCTGAGTAAACATGCACAGCATTGTGCTATTAAAATTTTAAAACAGATCAAATAACAATAAACAGATCAAACAAGTATATAATGCTATCCGGTTCATTCTTTCTCCAAAGTAAATCCTGCTATTTTCAACAGGATTTACTCTAGGACAGTAAGGATAAGATTGTAGCTTTAATTAGGTTGGTCCACACTTGGAGCAAAAGGAACCCATTGGATGTTTATGCTTGGCACCATGAAACAAGTAAACAATGCAGTACAATGACTAATTTAGCTTCTATTGCTTTTAATGAAGTCCAGATGCAACCCGTTGGCATTTTGTTTTGGACACTTCAGACTAAATTAAATTCTTGTTCCAAGAGTTGACTTGGTGAAATCTATGAGAAGGACTAACAAGTCCTATTCAGTGGCTTCACTGTAGTCCAGAAATAGAAATACGTAGTATCTTTCCATTCTGCATCAGCTGCAGAACTAGTGAGAAAGAACGACAAAAGCGTTTTTAAGTTTCATGCACAAAAATGATACACATTCTTGAACGCTTGAAGATAATTAATTCTTTCTCAGTACCTTCTCCATCCTCCCTTTTAACACCCAATCAGAAAGAGTGGAATTCATGGTCTTTCCTATCAAGCAAAACCCAAAAGGGGGCAGGGGAAATATATAAATAAAATTTTAAAAAGACAAAAACCCGTAATTCACTGGAATAAGTCCTCCTTACTTACTTTCTCTCTCTCTCTCTCTCTCTCTCTCTCTCTCACACACACACACACACACACACACACAAACACACACACACACACACACACACACACACACACACACACATACACACAATTGCTCTGCTACCTTTCTGCCAAAGGGCAACACTCAACTCATTTATATAAGACTCATAAAAACATTGTTAAAGTCACTATTAAAACTAAGCAAGATAAAATCAAGCAGTAAAATGAAACAGCGCTTAAATAAATAAAAAGTTTAAAAGAGTTGAGCAAATAAGGCAGCAATCCAGGAGAAGAATCTAAGAGCAAATGGAAACAGAAGTACAGTTTTCCTGCTGAGACAATAAAAGAATGTTGCAATTTTGTGCAGTATACATTTACCTACAAGCAAATCCCCTTGAGAAAGATGATGTGATATAATGGACAGAGAGTTGGACTAGAAGCCAGGAGACGGGTTCAAATCCCTGCTCACCTATGGACACTCAGTGGGGTGTGTGGGGTGTGTGTATGGCAATGGCAAAGCCACTCCTTAAGTACTGTATCTTATATTTGGAAGCCCTACTAGAGTTGCCACAGTTGAAGTGACTTGATGGTATATAACAAATCTCATTGAACTTCATGGAGATAACTTCTGAGTAGACCTGTTAAATTGTACTACATGATTTCAGTACAACAGATAAGAGGAAGGAGAAACTAAAGATTTTTAAATGTTTTGAGTGAGGGGATGGGGTAGCAGTACACTGATTAGAGTGCCAGGTTAAGTTAAAGAACAAAAAAAATTTTACTTTTTTTATTGGAGCTCCCAGAATAGCCCAGCCAACATGGCACTGGCCATGCTGGCTGGGGATCCTGGAAACTGCAGTCCAAAATTATTGGATAACACAATGGCAATGCTGCAGTCTTCCCATGAACTCTGTGAAGGGGGTACCACTACAAAAAAAGGCCCTGGCTCTGGTAGCTGGGGGAATCTGAGAGCAATAGTCACAAAAACGGATCTTCTCCAACCTTCAGGGAGAGTGGATATGGTGGAGATCTGGGAGGTCACATACATCCTGCCTACAATAAAAATGCTACTGTCTGTTGCTGCTCTTTCAGCCCCATGCTGCAGTTGGGATAGAGAAAGATCCAGGAAGAGTCATAGGGGGCTCCCTAATCTACCCTAAGAGAGCATCCCTGGCTCAAAGATATCCACGGAGAATAGCAGAATGGCTCAGTGTGAATGGAGTGCTTGGAACCTGCAGAGATGCAGTGGTGTTTTTTGTTCATTTTTTGGGTTCTTTAGTGCTGTGCCCAGAGAGATTGTGCTTCCCTGTGTAGGATTCCCTGCCAGTAGAATCAAGAGTTTGGGAACATATTCTGGGTTCCATCTCTTGGCCACCCTAGAATGCAACACAATGCTGACAATCAAACTTTATACGCTAACATTAAGAGCTACACCGGGGGTTGGGGAAGCTTTGGCACTTTCAATATTTTACCCTTCCGTTCTCATAAGCCTTAGCCATCATGGCCAATAGTATGTGGTTACAGGGCTGGGAATTGCAAAGCAGCTGGAAAGCCAAAGGTCTCCACCCATGAGAGAGAGAGAAAAAGAGAGAAAGTGAGAAAGTCTGTCTTCTCTTTTAGCATGCTAGAAAACTTCAAGTTATGTGTAGGCTGGAGAAAATGAGGCCTTTCCCCTTCACTGTGCATAGGCGGTACATACTTGGACAAGTGAATATAAGATGCCAAGGCCTGAATGGAACCTCAATACTTAGAGGCAGTCTATCTCCAGATACTGGGGATAATCTGGAGAAGGAGGGCAATGAGGCAAGACAGATGCTATGAAGCCATGAATGTTATCTGACTGCTGTTAGAAGAAGAAGACTGGATTATGGGAAACTGTGGGTCAGAATTTGGAGAGTTATTTAAAAAATAATAGTGGATATAAATGACATGCTGAAACCATCCATAACTGAGATGGGGTAGCTGTGGGATACACAGGATGCTGGACTGAGTAAGCTTTTGATCCAAATCAGCAGGGCTATTCTTATGTTTATAGGATTGTAGGAATGTAGGAGGACATGAGAACATTATTCTGTGCTTTTTAAATCACTTGTGCAGCATTATGAATTGGTACATGAGGGTGCTTTCTGCTTCCCTCCTTATTTCTTTTTGTATTAAAGATATTAGGTTACAATTCTGCAGTCATGGACTGCCTTATTTTTTTTTCAATCATCACAATAACTTGCAACATTTAATTCCCTAGGTGAGGGGTGAGCAACCTGTATCCTCCAAATGTTGTTGGACTCCATCCCTCATTAGTCTCAGCCAGAATGGGTAATTGTCAGAGATGATGGGTGTCAAAAAACATCTGGAGAGGCATAATGAGAATAAGGGTGTTCAAGCATATGGGCACAGAAATATGGTAACTGTAGTAGTGATTCCCAACCTTGGGTAACCCAGGTGTTCTTGGACTGCAACACCCAGAAACCCCAGCCAGCACGGCTGGTAGTGAAGGCTTCTGGGAATTGTATTCTAAGAACACCTGCCTTACCCAAGATTGGGAATCACTGAACTATAGTATCTCTAGTCATTTGCAGATTACCGTAATTAAAACTGACAGCAGCTGAGGGATCTTTTTCTTTGGTGCCACGAAAAGGCAAGTGGAAGAAGGAGCCAAGAGTACCAGTATTTTTCCTTTCAGCGATGCACCTTGTCTTTCAGGCCCACCAACCCTTGCCAAAATCCCCCCCTCTTTTGCCCCTGGATCTGTCAGAAAAAAAAACGAGTCTGGGCAGAAAACAAGAATCCACCCCCCCTTCTGCACCCCATCTCCATCTGGCACAAAAGTGCCACATTCCTTCTGTGCCCTTTTGCCAGGCCTGTACACATACAAAGGCCACCTTAGTGCACTCCTTGGAAGAAGAGGCCTTGACACCCGCTTGTGAAGCCAGAAGACCAGGCAAGCAAGCGAGGCAAGCCAGCTCTCCAAGTCAGGAGACAGGGTGGGTCACACATCGGCCAAAATGTCTCCCTGCTGAAATTAAATAACTCTTTGGCATTGAGATTCAGGCTGTGGAAGCATCTCTGTGGCAAAAACCTAGACCTGCACCTGTTGGGCATAACACGATGGGATGATGGGTTGTTTCCCACCAGATGTGAGAGCAGAACCACTTTCTTGGCAGCATCAGAGACAAGAGAGCAGCTGTTGTTGTCACAACCTGACAACTGACAGATTTACGGTGTGCAGAATCCGGTGTGGACCAAAGCCTCCCTGATATATCTGCCAACTGAGGAATACCTTTCATGCAACAGGCAAAGTGGGCTCTAGAAGCCCAAGGATGCCTCCATCAAGCGTTTAGTCTCCTCTCCAGGCTTGGATTATCAGGTACTGGTATAGTTCCAATTGTCCTTGAATAATGGATGCCCCTTCCTACAGAATAGTGATGGTGGTGGAGAAAAAAAACCACCATCTGGTTGTGCCATGCTTGACTGGTATAGTTCCAATTGTCCTTGAATAACGGATGTCCCTTCCCACAGAATAGTGATGGGTAGCTTGTGCCACATCTGGTGGAGAGAAAAAAACACCATCTGGTTGTGTCATGCTTTATAAGTGCAGATCTAGGTTTTTCCACAGAAGACCTTTCAAAGTCTGAATCCCCAATGGGTTATTTGTTTTCAACAGGAGACATGTTGGCCTCCTGGCCCACCTGTGGCCCTTGTGTTCATGGGTAAGGCCTCTTAGTTTCGCTCACCATTGTCCATACTAGCAGTAGCCAATGAGAGTTGTAACCTGGGTGCAGGTTACTCGTTCCTGACATGAAGAATACTACAGAGGATTGTCCTCAATAAAAGAGGACATAGGTCCACACTGAGAATGAAATGGGGATTGTAATCCCGTTTAGAAGCTAACAAGAATACAGTAATTGGGACTTATACATCTTCAACATTTCTTTTTAGCTTATGTAACTCCAAACTCATTCTTCTTGTCTTGTGGATCCCTTTTAGGCATGAAACCATCACGAAATGGCCAGGTTGGTCTTTACCTGCCATCCTACATGAGAGGTAAGTATCCTGTCTCCTCCTGTTCTCCTCTATGCACTGGAAGAAACACAGTGAGGATGTTCCTTTGACAGTGCCTCTGTACTGGAAGAAACACAGTGAGGATGTTCCTTTCACAGTGCAAACTCTGATCCTCAAAGTTTGCCTCTGTGAGTGACTGTACATTTGCACATGTCGAAACGGAATCAGCTGAAACACATATACACAATAGCTTAATTAGTGACTCTGGAAGAGATAATGGCAGAGCTTGGAAAAATAACTCTTTTTGAAATACAGCTTTCAAAATCCCCCAGCTAACTAGACCAGAAGCCAGGCTGGCTGCGAGATTCATGGGGTGTGGGTGGGTAGGGAGGTATATGTCTGTTTTCCAAACTCTCCGTCAAGATATAGCAGATGCCCTGGATTGCCAGAAAGATGAACAAGTGGGTCCTAGATCAAAGCAAATCTGAACTATCTATGGAGGCAAAAATACTGAAACTGAAGCATCATGATTAGGCAGGATTCTTTTGAAAAGATAATAATGCTGGGAAAGGTGGAAGGCAGCAGGAAAAGAGGAAAATCAAATATTAGAGAGACTGATTCCCTAAACCACTGGTTCTTAACCTTGGGTTACTCAGGAGTTTTGGACTGCAACTCCCAGAAGCCTTCACCACCAACTGTGCTGGCTGAGGTTTCTGGGAGTTGCAGTTCAAAAACATCCGAGTAACAAAGGTTAAGAACCACTGCCCTAAACAAAGCCAAAGGCTTGAGTGTGCAAGAACTGAGTACGGCTGTTGGGGCAGTACATTTTGGAAATTGTTCATTCATAGGGTTGCCATCAGTTGGAGATGACTTGACCAGCACATAACAACAGCAATAATGACCACTGAACATGTGGCCTATATTTATTAAAAATGTTTGGTGTTTCTATTAACAGTGTTTGGTGGGCTAATGCACAGCTTGGAGCTATTAAAAAAGAACAACTCTGGAAACTCATAATTGGTTAAAAATAAAAAATGTGTGTGGAAATCCATTCTGCAGGAAAAATAACCCTTCACTTTGTTACTGACCCTCCAAATCTGGCTTCCTCCTATGCAGAAGCCAGGGGAATCCCTCTCTCATTATCTCTCTCTCTCTCTCTCTCTCCACAGGAGGATGAGAAAGTAGGAAGTGACCTCAGAGAAAGAATGAGAAAGGAAGCCTAGGAATACCTGTACATCTAGAGAAGCCAAGAGGGGAGAATGTACCCCATGTAGCTATATGCCTTTCTTTGTACCACTGTCCCCAGTTAACATCACTCATTTCATGCACTGGTTCTGCATTCCACCATTATTTGCACTGTATTTTGAGGAGCTTCTCTCATTTCACCCACCTTGGACTCCATAGCCAAGAAACAGTGCAGCTTAATTCTCCTGGTCTTTCTCTCTCTCATCCTTTACAGGTGTAACAGCAATGCAACCTGGAGCTGGATTGGGACCAGCTGGCGCCAAGGCTGGTAAGCCATGTAGCAAAGTTGAAGTGATGTCTTCTTTTATTCCAAACAGGACGTGATCCCTGCCTTTGGCTTTTTGAACAGTGTTCACGTAGTGTTCAGGAAGAACAAATATGCTGATTTTTTCATCGTTTATTAAATGTATTATTCTTTTTCCAGTTATCTATCTATTGAATGATGTATACTTTTTGAAAAGAGCTACAATTTTAAAATGTAAATTATATTTGCTTTACTTTTCTTTTTTTGATACCCTTCTTCTTAAATTAACTCAGGGCACAGTTAGTTAGTTAGTTAGTTAGTTAGTTAGTTAGTTAGTTAGTTAGTTAGTTAGTTAGTTAGTTAGTTAGTTAGTTAGTTAGTTAGTTAGTTAGTTAGTTAGTTCGTTCGTTCGTTCGTTCGTTCGTTCGTTCGTTCGTTCGTTCGTTCGTTCGTTCGTTCGTTCGTACAGTTGTATTCTGTCTTGAAGGCAGCTCACAGTCTTGGTAAAACAACATTTTTAAAAGGAAATAAATTTAATTGTAAAATCAATAAAATCAAAGAAAAGTCACTTCACCATAAAGCCATCAAAACCAGTTAAGTTACAATTAAAATAGTTAGTTAGTTAGTTAGTTAGTTCGTTCGTTCGTTAGTTCGTTCGTTCGTTCGTTCGTTCGTTCGTTCGTTCGTTCGTTCGTTCGTTCGTTCGTTCGTTAGTACAGTTGTATTCTGCCTTGAAGGCAGCTCACAGTCTTGGTACAACAACATTTTAAAAAGGAAACAAATTTAATTGTAAAATCAATAAAATCAAAGAAAAGTCACTTCACCATAAAGCCATCAAAACCAGTTAAGTTACAATAAAAAACGACAGAATAGATTCAGTATTATTCAGAATGATGAAGTCAAACCTAAATTTTGCGGCCAGAGAAGTCTGTAACTCAAAAAGTCTGTAAGTCAAGCCGTCTGTAAGTCAAGGGTCCACTGTAGATTCAATATTATTCAGAATGCTATGTTTTGCACCCTTCTTACATGCAACAAGAGTGGCAACTGATCAGAATGTGAAGTGAGAGTGTTCTACAATCAGAGAGTCATACAAAGTGATTTATCTTCATAGATGACTCTCTGACGTAGGTTTGACCAATAGATGACTATGATTAGCTGTGATCGTCCAGCAAACTTGATGGCTAAGGAAGAATTTGAACCCAAGCCTTGCTGGTCCTGCTATAGTATTTAACCGAAGGCACCTATTGAAAGACAAAACTGTGTCATAAGTTGCGGCCTATTATTGGCCTTTTGTTTTCATTGTTCCCCTCTTTGTTTTCTGCTCTGACAGGCCGATATCCTTTCTATGGGACCCAAGGCCTGCCCACAGGGCTGGGTAAGTTCAGCCACGCTGCTGAAATAAAAATTTAAAATGGCAATTCCTGTGCCAAACCCTAAATGAAACAGATATATTTTCCCTGCAAGATCTAAGGCTTTACCTTAGAGTAGAGTAAATGGAGAACACCGTTTCAGAGTCCTGGTAGATGTTTATAGCTCTTGTTGCCCCTTATGTACAATAAACATGAAAGCACAACAAGAAACCAGGAAGAACTGGAACTTTGCTAGCTGATATACGTAATTCAATGTTGTCCTTATTTTATATACAAAGACAACAGTGTGTGTGTTTACAGAGGGAACATTCGGAATTAGCATTCATCCACAGGGAGAAGAGGGCCACTTTATTTCTACTACCGGTTCATTTGCTCTACATGGTTAGACCAGTCGGACACCAATTTAGATGTGCTTAGTGAGCTTCAATATAAACCTCTGAATTACATCAGAGAGTTCCACAAGTTCAAGATTTCATAGGACAGAGGCATGGCCGTGACAGTAGCATCAGGCTGCTCTAGCTGTGAAGCGCGAACACATTCTAAGTTCACAGTTAAGCCAGGCCTCTCTATTAGAGATGAGCACAAAATTAACCATGAACCGGGGGGAAAAAACCCTGAAAAACCAGGCTAGTTTGTGGTTCATTTCATGATTGCAGTTCAGGGATCTCATTTTGCTGAAATGCTGAATTTTTTTTCCCTTTGCTGTTTCATTTGCTTCAGCAATGGGGGGGATGCCCACCTGCCCCCTTCCGCCTACCTGCTCTTGCTGCCAGCACTGCAGGTGCCTACTTTAGAGGCAGCGAGCCCGGCTTCCCTGTCAGGAGCCTGCTGCTGCCTTTGAGCATGTGCACGCAGAAGTGATGGAGGTAGCAGGACACCACCCCCAGGCACGAACTGGAACAACAAACTGTGAACTGGGTTCATTTTTCTGGGGGTTCATGGTAGTTTGTGGTTAGCCACAAATCATCAGGAACCACTAGTTTCCCAGTTTGTGTCCATCTCTACTCTCTATGTTCAAGAGAGCAAACACCACACTGTTAACAGAGCTGGGGAAAATTCCTTTTTGGACCAACATTCCTAGATTCACCCAGCTAGCATGGCCATTTTTCCAGACCTTCCAAGGACCAGATTCTGGTCAAAGGGTAAGGGCCCTTAAGCTTGAGGGTTCCTTCACTGGAAATTCCCCTACACTGGAAATAGTGACGGCCCTGTCTCAGGCCTAAGTGAGAATCTTCCAGCGTTTGCGATGACTCTACAGTGGTCCTGGCAGAGACAAATGTACTCCCCAGCTCTACCAGCACGTGCAATTCAAACCATCTGGCATCTTGGAGAAGAGACAGAAAGTATGCTCTGCCTTGCCAGTCCCAACAAATTTCCATGATAATGGTAGCGGAACAAACCTATAACTCAGTGCAATAACACTCTGCTGGTCCCTAGTTTTTTGTTCTGATTGCTTCTGCCTTTGCAGGAACACAGAATGGATTTGGGGCTGGACAAGGCTTTAGGGGCCAACCAGGTGAGCAAAATGCATGCAGACATCCAGAACGTATCCCAGTGGGATAGGATTTCTGTCCATCAATCAACAATGCCAGTGGTCACCTGGGCCTCATATTGAGTATGGGCATGCTGATGGAGTCAAGAGATACCTTATAGTCTAAGGCATGGACTGTGCTTAGAAAAGTTACATTTCTGGATTCCAGCTCCCAAAATCCCCAAGCCAGCATGGCCACTGGGAGTTTTAGTTTCAAAGAAGTAGGTTTTCACAGCATTGGAGAGAAAAATTTGATGCTTGTAAAAATTATTTGGAATTTGTTATAGGGAGATGTAACTTTTTCAAGCTGAACCTCTGGCTGCCCTTCCAGAGCTTAGAAGAATTACTCTTCTGTACCACAACTCTCACAATTCCCCAGCAAGTAACTTTTCAAAGCTCTGGATACAGCAGATCAAGATTTCCTGGTAGATATCTGGGTAATTTGCATCTATCATTTTCCAATGACAATTAGTCTGAAAGGATTTTGCCTCTAAATTAGGTTACTAAAAAGAACACTTAGGGGAAAACCAGGAATTGATTTGTTTGTCTATGGAAAAAGACTTGTGTTGTTGGTTCTAATACTGACTACAAATTGTTGAATGAAACCCAGACCAAAAAAAAACGTTCCGTGTCTAGTCGTGCAGAAAAAGACTTGTGTTGTTGGTTCTAATACCGACTACAAATTGTTGAGTGAAACCCAGACAAAAAAACCGTTCTGTGTCTAGTCATGCAGGCCACGTGACCACAGAAACTGTTTTCGGACAAACGTTGGCTCTACGGCTTGGAAACGGGGATGAGCACCGCAGCCTAGAGTTGGACACGACTGGACTAAATCTCAGGGGGAAACTTTACCTTTTTAATCTGCCTATCAGATCCACTATTTTGGACCAAGTTCTGGTTGATGGGTTGTAAGTTTTAAGAAGTAGATCCCACAGACCTGCAGTTTCCCTTGGCCTAAGGGCTGTCACTGCTACCATCATGGACATTAATTGTGAACCAGTCTTTCTCAATCACTGATGTCCTCCGTCCTCTCTCCTAACCTCTTTCGATTTGATACCTTCCATCTCCACACAGGTTATGGAGTCCCAGCTGGATACGGAGCAGGTAGGATTCCCCTCTTTTTCTCAGCTCACTAACCCATGTCAGCAGTTCTGTCCTGCTCACACACCTCTAAAGATCAGGGTCAGGGGCAGAGTACCTGATGGAACAGGTGCAGAAAGTATCCAAAGAAATGAGGAGGAGGAAAGAAGATTTTTCTTACAAGAAAACACTGAAGCGTTTGAGGATTTTCAGTTTAAAAATACACATGCGCGCAGGTTAAGTGGCAGGTCACATAATAGGGCAACAGTGGGAAATGGGAGCATGCAGTCTTTTCATGACCTTTTGTGGTGTCACCCCATTTGGGCAGCCATACTGCCATTATGCTTGCCCCCCCCCCCAAATTGTGGCAGCCACTGCTGAGTTCAGGACAGGGTGCTGAGTGCAGGTCCTTCAGTCCAGGGAGCTGGATACTTTCATTATAGTGATTTGTAAAATGATACATGTTGCAAAAAACAAAAACAAAAAAAAACAAGGGTGGGCTTTTAAAAATGATCTTGCTGGTGTGTCATTTATATAAGCATAATTCAGGATGCCTATCTTTGCCTTCAGGTTACCGGGGTGTTGGTTACCCACGTGCTGGCCTTCCCTTCGGAGGTAAGTGTACTTTTCAGGTGCTTTTCCTCTATTTTTTCCTTGTTTTCTACCTGTCCAAGGGATACCTCCCTGCCCTAAAATATTCCATTGTTTCCTTGCCCTCTTAATGTCCCAAAAGAGAAAACATCTTATGTCTCCCTTTACCAAAAACAAAAATAAATGAATAAAAAAACTTGACGGATTGCCAAATCTTCCTCCAGACTCAGAGGCCCATTATGTGACCAAACAATGTTCTTGGCAAAAACATTGTTCTCTTTACTTATTTTGGTTTTCTAAAAATAGCGGACTGATCTCCATTTTATGACTCTGGGATGGGGCTTGGGATGTATTCCTACAAAAACCAGTTTCCTCATCACTGGATGCCACTGTATTTTCTTATACTTTTACGTGAGGGTTTGGTACTTTATTCTTTCTTTCTCAATCATCATTTTTCTTTCTTTCACTGCCTTTTTACATGTCTGTTTTAATATTTTTTCCTCCTCAAAGTTACTCAGTGGTGGCTTTCATACTAATGTGCTGGACTACAGTGCCCATCACCCGCAGTTGTCTGGCTGGAGACAATAGGGTCTGTAGTACCCCATATATTGAGGCTCTCAAGTTGGGAAAGATCATTTCCATGTTTAGAGCAGTTTGTCCAAATCATGCTACCTATAACTACACGAATACAAACAGTAGAATCATAGAAGCATGGAGTTGGAAGGGACCTATAAGGCCATCAAGTCTAACCCTCTGATCAAGGCAGAAATCCAAATCAAAGCAGATCTGACCAATGGTTGTCTAATTTTGTCTTGAATGCCTCCAGCACTGGAGCACTCACCATCTCTTGAGGTAGTTGGTTCCCTTGTTGTACTTCTCTAACAGTTAGGGCATTTTCCTGAAATTCACCCTAAATCTGGCCTCCTGTGACTTGAACCAATTATAAATTGTCCTGCACTCTGTGATGATCAAGAACAGATCCTACATACCTGTATATGTACACACACATATAATTACAAGCTGTCAATTTTCTCCATTATTTTTGCTTCCTAATTGCAGACCCTATATTCTTCTATCTGTTGTGAATCAGTGCCCCAGTGTTTAACTTTCCACAGCACCTTGTTAAAATGTTGGTAATGCAAATTGCTCAGAGTAAAATTTTCAGCTCCTTCCTTAAGGAGAAGTACAGTACACAGGTTGCTGTTCCATACCCTGAAGATCCCATAGGTATACATATATTTTTGTTTCTCTAAGGATCTACAAGTAGCAGAACAGATATTTGAACCAAGTAGTAAATCCATGAAGGACACAGTATAGTGGAGTAAATGAATATTATCTCTGAAGAATAGAGGAAAGCTCTAGCAATGCCAATTTGGAGGAAGGGCTCAGACAGCCATCTTCAGTGTGATAATAGGTTTATAACTACAATGCCCCTGCTTTTTGTCTATTAAATATTAAAAGGATAGGCTACTAAGTTCTTTAGCAGAACTGTATATGCTATGATTTTGCACAGGTAGAAGATTAGTCATGCAGAAAAAATGTCTGCTTGTGTTTAAAATAAAATGTGAAGTTTGCATCTCTGCTGGTTGTGGGCAGTGTCCTGTGAACCTTCAAAAGCTAGAGGAATGCTTATAGGAGTTTAAGTAGCCACCAAGGGGAGCCTGAGTGAGTCACACAGCTTTTTGCCCCTCTCCATGATTAACAGAAGACGAATTATGCAAGCTGTGTCCATAAAACATGCAAAATGTGCACCGAATTTGGGAGTGGGGGGTGGGGTGCCTGTGTAGCATGTGTTTTTAAGTATAAACTAAACAAGCATGGATACCTAGTGTAGTGTAGTGGATAGAGTGATGGGCTAGGACTCAGGAGGTCTGGATTTGAATTCTCGATCAGCCATGGAAGCTCACTGAGGGTGTGGAACTGGTAAAACACCTCCTTAAATGTCTCTTTTACCGTGTAGTGGATAGAGTGATGGGCTAGGACTCAGGAGGCCTGGATTTGAATCCTCGATCAGCCATGGAAGCTCACTGAGGGTGTGGAACTGGTAAAACTCCTCCTTAAATGTCTCTCTTACCTTGAACACCCAATTAGGGTCTCTATAACTTGGTTCCAATTTGGCGGCATATAACAAACAAACCTATTCTAAATCTTTCTTATCCTTTCTGGCCTGACTCTTTCTTTTCTTATCCTGCAGTGCTTGGACACAGAGGCAAAACGTCCAAAGCAGGTAATAGTACCTTGGGGATCACATTCTCTGAGAGGCTATTCTTTGAACTCAACCATATTCCATTTCAGCAAACTTGTATTGCATGTGTGCCAAAGTACCATACATGTACAAAATTCATCATTCTCAGCAAATGGTGCCTCCCATTCACCATGTAAAAGTGCATATATTGCAAAGCAGCAAAGATATTTCAGGACATGAGACAAGAAATCAGAGAAGCAACTTGTGATGTTTTGTGTAGAGATAACTAATTTCTCCCACCTACGCAATCTCTGTGTCTCTTAATTTCTTTATTTCTCTGAACAGGTTATGGAGCAGGGCCCAGCGCTGGTGGCTATCAAGCAATAGGAATACAGCAAGGTGAGTTTGAAGAATTGGTGGGATTTGCACACTAGACACCAGCTCCAAAAATGGAGGGGGAAATTACTCACACAGAGGCTTCCCAAATATGTATTCTGCTACAGGACTCAGTTATGTTTCAAAGTTGTGTCCTCTAACCAAGAACCCCTGTCCCTTGTGGTTCCTTATTTACATAGGAAAAGCACTCTGTGCATGATCCAGAGAACTAGTTTTGGGTGCTCCAGATAAAACCAGTAATTTGAAGATATACCTTTAAAAGCAGTGGCTCTGTCATTCGTATTTTTTTCTTATTTAGGGCAACCAGTCATTTGATTCAGGAATTCTGCTGGCAATCTGCAGCTAGCAATCTGCATTTTGAATGGCTATCTTCTCAACTTTGTCCTTTAATTGTCCTTTTAATCCATGCAGAGTTACAATCAAAGTGGCCACGGGTTTTCAAGGGGTAAATGTAAACAAAACATGGCTGAGTTGACCCCCTACCCAGAATATTTGGCCAATGACATTTTCATTGGCTGTGAATTAACTGGCAAATAATTTTTTTAAAAAAAAAGAGACCAGGACAAACTTTGCTTAAATTATGCCTTTTACAGGCCAAAAGAAGAAAGGGAGGAAGAGCAAGAGAGAATGAATTTCTCTCTTGATATTTTTTTTCTCCATGCTTTCTTTGTTCAACAGCCTATCCAGGTGGTGTTGGAGCTGGTGGTTACCCAAGCAATGGACTCCAGAATCTCACTGAGGGTGTGGAGAAACACACACAGAGAGACACACACACACACACAGACACACACACACAGAGCACAAATATCACAGTGCACTGGCCAAGAAGGCATCAAATGTAACTAGTAACTAAAGTGCCTTTGGTTATAGACTGCTTTGTTACAACCATGTCCATTCACAGCCCCATCAAAATGGTGATGTTCCTCGGTCGTGAGAGACCATGGCCTGGCATGTGGATGTTTCCAGATTTAGTTCTTGCTGGCACAAATCAAGAGACCTCAAGGAGCAAGTCAGGCAAAATACAGAGGAGGGGCTGGATAGATTAATGGCCTGTTTTGGTATGCAAACATAAAAGCAAGCCTATGTATGAATGGCCTCTCTAGTCCATCATTTTGACTGCACCAAGGCTAACCACAGTAGCCCCCAAGCAGGATATAAGAAAGTAGTAACCCCTCAGTAGAGCTGGGGATATTCTTCCTCCCACTTCCTGCCTGGAATGGCCAGCCAAGCAGGGAGACTGTGGTGCTCCTGGTGCCATTAGCAGGAAGAGCTGGACCTTTGCAGCACCAGGAAATGTGAGTGGACAGGCCAGTCCTAGGGGCTGGACCCTCATTCAGTCCATCCAGGGTGGGGATATGAATTCGAATATCCCCATCTCTACCCCATCACTCATATGCTCCAGCAACTGATTTTCAGGGGCATACAGTGTGTGATACTGGAGTTGTGTCAGACATCAAGATAGCATGCTTGACTCTCCCAGGAGTCCTACAGCGATACATAAACACCCTCCCCACTCAGACAAAGATTGGAAGCTTGCTGTTTGTCACAGCTGGCATCTCAATAAAGGATTAATCCCAGAATGAAATCAAATAATCACAAGCAATCATAGCAATGTTCATCTGAGTACAGTATCAGGATTTAAGTATTTCGTTGCTGCAATAAGTCCAGGCAGCATCAATTTGTCCATTGCTACAAAGTTTGTTCCTACATTGTTTCTACGTTCAAAAATTCTGAAAATGCATAACTTTTTCAGAAGTCATGGGTACGTTACTTAAAAATTGATCCTTGCAGCTATGAACAAAGCTGTAGGTACAAATGTTTCAGTCAGAAATAAAGGAGCAAAATACTGACAATAATATAAGAAGGAAATGTTCAAGTCACATTCTACAAACACAGGAGCTTTTAGCCTATAAAGTAGTGAAATTATTAAATAAGTAGTGAAATTATTAAAACCATTATTGTAAGCCTTATTTTAAGAGTGTAGAAAAAAACATCAAAAGTTTTAACAGTAACATATGTTCTATAACCCTCTTTCATGATTGGCAGCCACTGATAAACCTTGTTCTCATAAAATTTTCTGATCTTTTAAAGTTATCTAAGTTTGGGGCCATCACTAAATCTCGTGGCAATGCGATCTATAATTTAACTACCTGCTGTATAAAGAAATTCCTACTCTATAATACCTTATCTTGCACTATGATGCAAAACTCGGTTCTTTATTTATTTTCCAGTCTGTTCCTACTCTCTGTCACAGTGGCAGCAGACAGTTCTGATAACTGGACAATTAGCTGCAAACTTAATACATGCCTTTCACATAGCTGGTCCAGACTGTAATTGTTGGACCAGCAAGCAAATGAAAATTGTTTTCTACTACTTGTGCTCCATCAAGTCACCAGTTCAGAAACGGAGTAAGGACTTCAAATACACATAGGAACGGTGGTTGGGCATTGCTTCCTGCAATAAAGAAGTATGTCCAGAGGGTGGAGCTGTTTACCAGTATAAAGAGTGTCAGCCTTTAATGGCTATTGTCACTTTTTTTATGAAATCCATCCCTGGTAATAGGGTTAAGGAAGAAAGTGCCAAAGTACAATTGCAACTGAAAATTAAGAAGATCAAAATCATAACTATAGAAGAACTACACAATGTTAATGTTGACAGTGGAGAAACTGAAATAGAGATTTTTTTTAAAAAAAATGTGGTTCAGTCATTAATCCTAATAGAGACTGCAGCCAAGAAATCAGAAGACTAGGAAGGGCAACAAAGAAGGAACTCTAAAAGATCATCAAATGTAAGGATGTGTCACTGGCGAACATGAACAAGATTATATGCACTACTGTATTTCAAGTCACCATATATGTCTGTGAAAGCTGGACAGTTAAGAAAGCTAACAGGAAAAAATTTTATTTGTTTGAAATGTAGTGTTGGAAGAGAGCTTTGTGGATAGCCTAGACTGCCAGAAAGATGAACAAGTGAGTCCTGAATGATCTCTGGAGGCAGAAATGCTGAAACTGAGGTACTATATACACATCATGAGAAAGCAGGAGTCTCTGGAAAAGATATTAATGCTGGGAAAGGTGGAAGGCAGCAGGAAAAGAGGAAGATCAAATATGAGATGGATCAACTTCCTAAAAGAAGTCACAGACTTGAGTATGCAAATACTGAGTAGGGCAGTTGATGACAGGACATTTTAGAGATCTCTCATTCCTAGGGTTGCCATAAGTCAACCACATGTAACAACAAATAAAAGGGTCAAGGATTCAGCCTTAATAGATTAGTGGAGGTTGGGTGGAAAAACACAAAACTTCAGCTTCTATTTCTTTTGCAGGGTATGGAGCTGGAGGCAATGGATTTCCTAGCACAGGACCTCAGCCAGGTGGATATGGTAATGGCAATGGTAATGGATTCAATTTTTGTATTTATTTCTCTTTCTTCTTCCAAAGAGATTGGAGTGGTCTTTTTTAACACAATCCTGTGAGTTAGGTGAGGCTGAGAGATGGATATCAGCGCAAAGCCACCTAGTGATTTTTCTGGCTGAGGACTGAGTATGTACATTCAAATGTAACATAGTGATTTTTCTGGCTGAGGACTGAGTATGAACATACATTCAAATGTAACACTCTCCACTACATATAAAGTTGCAGGAAGGAATGTAGACTATGTTTCGGACCATACAGTTTACAAAAAGTTATTTTTCTGAACTCCCAGAATGGGAATTGGGATTCTGGAAATTAAAGTCTCTAAAAGCCACTTTTCTCAGCTCAGACTGAATGATAGCTGGGCAGTGGGAGAAGAAATAGATTACAGAGCTTAAAACATCAACCACAGTTCACATGAATTCTACTCCAGAACTTTGAAGTAGGCCTGGCCCAAGACTGAATGATAGCTGGGCAGTGGGAGAAAAAAATAGATTACAGAGCTTAAAACATCAACAATTCACATGAATTCCACTCCAGAACTTTGAAGTTGGCCTGGCCGAGGACATTTTGCTAACTGAAGTGAGGGAGGAATTTCTCTCTCTCTCTCTCTCTGAGGGAAATTGGCTGAGTATTGAAGATTTGTAATGTGTCTTTTTCAGGTGCCCGGGGCCCTTACGGCACCCCATTGGAAGGCCCTGCTGGGGATCCCACTGCTGCAAAATATGGAGGTGAGTCTTAAGTCTATTCTTGTGTAAAGAAAAGACCTGCCCCCAACTTCCCTGGGGCTTCGTCAACCAGGCAGACGTCTGTGTACTAAGAAAAAGGGTTTGGACTGACTTGTAAAGAGTTTTACCTGTCGTTACCACTGGGGAAGAACATGCTCAAATTGCCAGCTGTATTTCTGGGCCATCTAGTGGTCTTCCAGTCCCCTCTTGGTGACTCTCCTCTATGTCACAGGGGCAGGGCAGCTCCCCTACAGTGGTCAATCACAACAGCCAGAGGCTACTGGACTGGGAGGAGACTATAGTGCTAGGAGATATGGTAAGTTGGGGAACCGGGTGGTTTATTATTGTTATCTGCTCTCGAGTCATTTCAGACCTATGGTGACCCTATGAATTAGTGACCTGGTAAAAATCCCGTCATTTATAACTTTGCTCAGGTCTTGCTAACTTGACGCTGTAGCTTCCTTGGTTGAATTAATCAATCTCAAGATATCTGAGACACTCCGAAATAAAAACCCGATGATGACGTTTGTGACTAGAGCTGATTATATTCTGGATAAATGTCAGAAGAGCATAATTTGACATGATGTGCTAACTATGTCAGGATTATCTGTTTTTAAAGTTCCAGGTCTTTAGAAGGGGGATTGGCAATTTGTGGCAATCGAGGGGTTACCCTCCCTCTGACAACACAGGTGTATAGCTTGGGTGATGCTCCTGCATTCACCTGGGGTCCAAGCTATCCCAGAGACTTTATGAGCCTGCCTAGTTGTTAAGACCATTGGAGAGGGGGGCTTTCTCTCAGTCTCACCACCCTCACAGGTGTGTTTGGGACACAGGAGAGAGACTCTCTGTTGCTGCTTCCAGACACTGGAACTCCCTCCCACAAGAGGTCAGGCTGGTCCCACCTTTGCTGTCGTTTTGCAAACAGGCAGAACCCTTTCTCTTCAGGCGGGCTTTTCCTTAGTGACTGGATGTCTAAGAGGGGTTTTAAAAAAGGAATGGTTTGTATTTTTGTTACTTTTAAATCTGTTTTAGTAATGCTTTTATCTAACATTTTAAATACAATGTTTGTTTAATTCTTTTTAATATTTAAATGATTTACTATTTTTTGTTTTTAGTACTGTATTTTTAATTATGTAAGCCACATTGGGTTCTGTTTTTAGGGGAAAGGTGAGGTAAAAATATTTTAAATAAATAAAGGGCTATATTAGCCCCTCTCCATACCTAATGAAACCACACTGCTGCTGTCACTGGCAATTTTGCCCTTGCTGACACAATTGCTGCAAAATGGGGGTGGCAACTAGTGCTGACCCTAGAGAGAGAACATGTTCAGAAGGAGATAGTCTTCGGTGACAGGAAATGGTATTGATGGAAAGATGAAGGATCATCTGGGATAGCCTGGGAATGACACCTTAGGTTATACTTTCTCTGCTAACCAATGATCAAGGACAAAAACAGAACATTTCCTACCTACAAGAGGACCAAACCAGCTACCTGAGGTCCTGAGCCTGCCAGCCTGGGTGCTCAGGGAAAACCAGGACCACATGGGAAGGGTCAGCTCCAGTGCCCTTTTCCTGACTACTTTTTCTCTTGCTTTTCAACAAGATCAGCAATATCTGATGGACTTCCTTCCCTTGGTCTTATTCTCATCCACAAGCAGAGTGCAGAAAGCAACATTTTGTCCTAGTTAATTTCAATATGGCTTTCTTTGCCTTAAAAGTGAAATTGACACGATCACAAGATTGAGGAAGGAACGTAGGCCTTCCACTGGCAGATCTAATCATTGGCAGGACAGGCTGAGTGGTTGACTATCAGAGAGACCCTGAGTACAGTGGGGTCTTGACTTAAGAACGGCTTGAGTTAAGAACATTTTGACTTAAGAACCACTCTCATAGGAAAATACTGACTTGACTTACATACTTAGATTTGAGTTAAGAACTGAAAAAAACCCACGTGGGAGGCAGGGAAAGTGCAAAATTTGAACTTTCAGTTAACTGTTGGCCAGTGAAAAGGGTGCCTGTCTGCATCCTCACTCCTCCCAGCGTTTAGAGAGTGGATTGGGAGACAGTCTTCAGACTGCCTGGTACTGTACTGCCTGGACTGTATTTTCCCTGCCTTCCCTGAACCTTTCTTGACCTAAGAAAAAAAGAAACAAAATATCCCCCCTCTAGTGGTCGAAGGCGGAATAGCAGCTTCCCATTAGTTTCTATGGACGGAAAAGAGCAGATACGGATCAAATGGTTTTCAATGCATTCCTATGGGAAATGCAGATTTGACCTGAGAACTTGTTGACTTGAGAACCGCCTTCCAATACGGATTAAGTTCTCAAGTCAAGACCCCACTGTAACTGAAACCAGTCCCAAATTGCCTGAAAGTACTGGCAAACTATTATAGGTCAGAGGGAAAGGTTCTCAGGCAGTTGTGAAGCCTGTAGTAACCGCCTTTTAAAGAAATTAATCCTGTTTCTTTGTCTCTTTCACTTAGGTGGGCCTCAGCTGTCATTTGGATCACAACCTGTCCGGACAGGGCTAGATGGTAATAAATTCCATCTCAAAGGGGCTGGAATAAGAAAGGAAACAGAACAGTGACTCATTTTTCAATAGATAGAAGTTAGTGCTCAAAAGCTCCCGGAGATTACAGTACATACTGGCAGGGAAGCATTTCTGGATTGTTCTTTACTGAAAGGGAAAACATTCTGGATATGGCCAGAAACTCTTTTGGCTTAGGAAAAGAAAAACAACTTTTCCTATAAATATTTTCCTTCTCTTTTTTTAATAAAAAAATGATGACTTATATTTCAGGCTCACAATCCAGAAAGGTTACCTGTTTTGATGTGTTGCAGGCAATCACAGAAAAAGAGCCTTTGGTGCCTTAAAACAGAGGTCTCCAACCTCTGGACCAGGCCGCTGAGACTGACCTCCCGCACCACCACCCCACACTCACTCCCGCACAGCCCATTTGCACCTGTGTGCACCCAGACAAGTGCCGCACTGCTGTTTGCTCATGCACAAATGGTGGTGCAGCACTCGTGCGAGAGAGCGTGCATGCTTGTTTGCAATGTGCATGAGCACAGGGGTGCCCTTCCTTCCCCAGCCAGTCCGTGGATCAAAAAAGGTTGGGGACCACTGCCTTAAGATATATATATATATATGTGTGGTAGCCTAGTAGAGATTATATCATCAAATGCATGTGGTGGTATCTCAATGTGGCAGATATGTACACACATATATAGGGACACAGAAAAAGAAATGGAAACAGTAGGGTTAAATACCTGTGACATTCCTAGCAGCCTGACATTTCTGCATAAAACTCAGATAAGTATACAAAATCAGTGCTGTGGCCACTCACACCAGCAATCACCAATAATTTAATCCCTTTAGCTTTGCAGTGGTAATTTGACTCAAATAACAGAAAAGGAAAACTTAATCTTGATTTAGTCCTAAATGAATTGTGTCAAACTTGCTAGTAAAATATAGATTGAATGCCTCCAAGCCTTTTGAAGAATGCTGAATTTTGTTCAAGAATAAAGTTTCCCAGGGAATGGAAATATCTTCCTACTGTACTGAAAACTAAATTTTGGGAATTTTAGGTGTCAGATATGTATTGACTCTTTTATAAAGACACCTCTGTTGTTGTTTTTCCTGTATGAACCAAAGAAGGACATTATCAGCAGCTAGTGGCATATATCGCATTAAACATGCTAAAGCTTCTAGAGTCTAATTCAGATCCCATGAAGTGAAGAGAGAACAGTGCCTGTTGCATTTTAAATGACCTGTGCTACACTGTTACCTCTCCTAACTCTCTGCTTCTTCTCCACCCTGAGCAGACAATGGAAACGGACTGGGATACATGAACGGTGTTGACTCGCAAGCTAATGGTCTGGGGGCAGGTAAAATTACTACTATGTCTATTCCTTCTTTCCTTCCAATAGGACTCCCACCCTGCTGTCTAGAGTACTTCTTGACTGAGTAGTCTAACACATTTTACAACAAGATGTAGCAAGGAACCTTCACTGTGTTTTCCTTTGGCTTTTGTCTAGCAGGTGCATATGTTCCTCTCGCAACTGGGCAAGTGGCAGGAGGGTATGGCCCTGGACAAGCACTGGGAGGCTTTGGTAAGTAGTGTTATATTAGTGTTTCCCTCTGTCAGTGGGGAAGAGCTGTATCTCTAGTTTATAAAGCAGGTGTCATTCAATATACAGTATACTGTATATATAGGTACATACACACAGACACTCAAGAGGGAATAGTGGGTGTTGGAGAGGTTTATAGGGTTAGGTTCCATAAAAATGGCCTGGGGGCATATGCACCTCACAAACGGCATGTTGGCCCCCCTCCATCTTAGGGCAGCCTACCCCAACCTGGTGCCTTCTGAATGAATCTTGACAACAATATCCGTGAATCTCTCACAATTAACTGTGCTGGCAGAAGCTGGTGGGAACTGTAGTCAATAAGATTTAGAGGGCCGTTATTGAGAAGATCTTCTTTTAATAAACCACATTCTGTGCTTCACAGGGCATGAGTTTATGTGGGAAGGGGTGACCCATACTGTCTGGAGGAATCTGCAAGTTATACTCTGAAAAAGTAACATTGCCCACTACTATGGAGGAGGTTCTGTAGCAAACACATTGAGGGGAGGTTCTTGAAAGACAAGTTAATGAACTTGAGCACCATCTATCTAGATTTCTTTGTCATGTGCTTTTGGTGTTATTTCCCTCAAGGAGACTCACATAACATGTTTACATTATTACCAGGTTTTGAATTCTTACACTGTGACTATTTTATAGCTGCCAGTTCTATTTCTGTTTGTGTATTTAATTTTGCTATTAAATTTACTTTTTTTTGGTCTGAGAATATAATACTAGTATTGTTGTTGATATTATCATCATCATTATCATCACCATCAATATTAATACTGAATTGTGATACAGATATAACTGCCACTGTTGTACATTTTGGCAGCAATTGGCAGTAACAGAAACTCTCCACAAGTGTTTTTAACTATACTTGGGCATAAAAATTGTCATTACAATTTATATTTGTATCATAAGCAAACCAATTTTAAAACAAATATATAAAAATAGGAGGGGCAAGTAAAACAAAATCAAAGAAAACAGTATCAGGTAAACCTAATTTAAAATAGGAATGGAATCAAATTACATTAGACTTCATTGAAACAAGTAGACTCATTGGAATCAATGTGACAATTCAGTCATGGCTAACTTAAGTGTAATCACTGAGTGTACCCTACTGTAAATGTGCTAAAAGACCCTCATGAACACCGTGATTTATATGAAAGCCAACACAAAATTTACTATGGGAATGGCTTGCTTTCCGGCAAATGGAAAGCAGCTCTGCAAACCATGGAAATGAGGTTAAAAGTACAGCAGTTCAGAGTTAGCTTTATTCCTTTTGTTTTCCTTTGGCTTTAGGAGGGAAAGAATCAAAGTATGGAATGAATGGATTTCTGGGAAATAGGTACAGAGGTAAGTAATAATAATTTTTTAAAATCCCTGTATCTTCTGTAATTCTAGCAGTTGATTACCCTTCTTGCTCAGATGAAACCCCAACCATTTATGTTCTGCATAACTGAAAGATCCATAAAATGTGACCATATCTACCCCAATATTTTTTTAACAAAATCTATAGCCACATCTTCTCTCCTAAGATGCTGATGTATAGTGTCACATAAAAGGGCAAAATAATGGATTGGCTTTTGATTTTGTCTTAGCCACCTTGTAATAACTAATTTCAATTTTCATTAAGTATGACTAAAATTGGATCTACCCATGATGCATGTCAAAATCAAAATATTTTAATAAAGTTTCTAAGATATTCCTTTTAAATGTTTAACTTATACATGCCTCTGGCTTCAGGTGACTTTATAAATGGGGCGGTGACTAGTGCTGAGTTACAGGGTATTGTAACAGAGTTCTAGAAACATGCACCAGATTTTTCTGGCATACCAGTTGAATGCTGGTAAATTGCTCACTATTTTATAATCTGATGAATACAGCCTACATTTCTCTCTCATCTCATGTCTTCCTTTGCCATGCTACTAGAATGACTGCTTCATTGTCTTTGTTTTCTTTCCATCCCTTTTTCCCCAGTTCGCTGTGCTTCTGGAAAATGCTGAGGGAAGACAACATATCTGAAAGGAACTTCCTGTAGCACGATTTAGGCATCTTGGCAAATCTCTGGTGCTAATCCTGAGGACCAAAAACAATGAAGTCTTCCTATAAAAATTAAAATGTCTTTCTTTCTCCTACTATGTTTTTATTTTATAATTAGAAGTGTTTAACTTTAAAAAAATCTTGCAAGGTAGCTTTGAGAGCCTCGGTTAAGCACATTTTCCAAGGCTGCTTAATGGTGGTGACCACGGCTATAGAAGCGGCATGTGAAGATGGAAATCCCTTTCCTTCTAAAGACAAGAATCCTACAAATTTCACTTCTTTGAAGAAAGCTAAGAGGCAATTTCCATCTTAGTGTGTATCTGGAGGCCCAGACCACAGTGTCTTTTCAATTAAAAAATCCAACTTTATTTTGTTTTTTGTTTTTTATTCTTAATGAGAGAAGCATAATAGTATACCAACAAGCCTTTGTACTTATTTGAATATCCATTATGTTTTCTGAAAAATACAGTGAGGAGAAAACCAGCTGGACTGGGTTTCTCACAACCTAAGAATATGAACCAATCTTATGGCAGACTGAAATACTTAGAGCCATTGTTTGTCCGGACTCCAAAGGTGCCTAAAGACAAAGATTCCTAACACTGTCAAAAAACATTGTGCAACTATTATGTTTTTCTTCCTCAAAAGATTTTTGTCTTTCAAAAACAACACTGACGTGAGGCCTGATGGTTATCTCATTTTGCATGGGGCACATGGGTATCATACTGTGATATTCTGCAGTGTTTGAATTTTACTTAATTTCCTCTGGTGGTGCAGCGGAAGTGCAGGGACCCACAAAGCATAATAGCTTCAAAATTCCAGAGAGTAGATTATCAACTGGCACTTATAGTCTCAATACAGTAATTCATCTGAGACATTAGTAAGAAGAAAGAATAAATAATGATTTATTTAGTTTCAGTTCTGAACAGATTAAACAGTAAACTAACAAAACATGACTGCTTTGAGCAACAGGCCTCAACAACTAACTGACTTTCAAGAGACAAAAGATAGGGAAAACAATGCCCTCAGCAGATAGTTTACTCTCCTTGAATTCAGAGGCATGGAAGGAATGATTAGTTAGTGCTGGATAGATTGGTATCCCCCAGCCAATATTTTCTCTAAGCTGCGCACGCACACACTCATCCAGAGCTCCATCGGGGCTGTGCACAGGCAGGTAGCAGCCAGTTTGTTTATTTCCTGTTTTGAATTAAGCCCTGCCCACCCCATGCTCATATAGTGAGGCTCCAGCATAGTGGGACAGAAAATTAGAGGGAATGTTTCTCCCAGCCAAACCTACAAAAGGCAGCATGCAAGGTTGCAAAAATTTCAACATGATATGTACTCTGGACATATCACAGTATGTACTTTAGACTTATGAAACTATAAGGGTCACTGAACAAGACAACAATGCTAAGAGAAGTCGAAAGCCTTAGAAAAAATAAAAATTGACCGTGAGATGGAGTGACTCAGTAAAGGAAGTGGTAGCCTTTATTTTACAAGACCTGTGCATTGCTGTTAATGGCAGGATATTTTGGAGATTCTTAATTCACAGTTACCATGAATCAGAAGGAACGTAATGACACATAGCAACAATCTGTTGGGTAAGATGCAGTAGTTGCACCTCATGTATGGAAAGCACTATATGAGAAGTTCATTCTGGTCCATCAGAGGAGAGGGAATAACTACAGCTTTCATTCATCTGATCAGAAGTGTGTCCTTGTGAAATGAAAAGGCAGATACAAAGCTTTTCATTTAATCCTGAGACAGTACAGTAGCTTGAACAAGCTGTACCTTTCCTACTGATACAAATATATCATCTGCCAATCCCTTAAGGCTCCACTGTTCTACTAGTTCACAGTAGCTGTGTGACAGAGATTTTTCAAGAATAGGTTATTACAACATATTATTACGTATATAATATGAGGTAAGCCTGTTATGGTACAATTTGGTTTGGTATAAGATGATCTTGTGTCACTAATTAACGCTAATGAGCTTTACAAAAGACCCACCTCTGGCAGACAAGAAAACTACTGTATTACAATTGGTTTCTTCCTTAAAACCAACCAACATTTGGGGGCATTCTGGAGACCAGACTTTCATGATAGGAACCCACACTACATCACTGATCTTTCTTGGCTGATATGCACTGAAGGAGAGGAAGGGAATGTGGTGACACCATGGCTAAGGTGACTCTGGAAGCTGCTTGATTAGGTCACAGATATCACGAAAAGCTACTTTTCAACTAAAACTGAAAAAACTGCAGACACCATGGCCAGGTTTAGCACAAAAATATAACACTTCCAAGCTCTACACGTCACAACATAACTTTTCCTAATAAATTGGGACAGTTGTCTGAAAACACAGCTGAAGAGATTGGAAATAGCAACTGAATATGCTGGGAGAGTTAATAAAGGAACTGGTAACTTCTACAAGGATATGGAAAAACAAGACTCTTCTCACACCGAAAGGCTCAAATTTCGTTCGAAGCAATAGCTCCAGATAACACGAAGGAGCTAACTTTCTGATAAAATTTAAACAGAATAAGCTTTTGCACAGTTTTGACTTTGAAGAAACATTATTTTTAGATGATTTACTAGGTCTCTCAGTGTGTGTTCCCTCCCCAGAAGCGACGTACTGTATAGCGACCATAACAGGGCTTTCAAGCTCAGTGAGATATTTAAGAAGCGGTTTTGCCAGTTGTACTCCCTCACGATTTTTTCCATGGCCAAATGGGGAGGGATATGAACTGTTCTCCGGAGTCCTAGTTGGCCATTCTATCCAGTAAGCAACGAAGAATAAATGCAGCGGAGAAGTATGAAGTTTACATTTGTGTGAGAAAACGCGTTTTCTGTTTGTATTTTACAATTCCTAGCTAGTCGGCACAATGACAAGTTTGGCTCATTCGTCGCACTAGGAGGGTTGCCTCATGATACCAAGAACGAATCATGAGTCTGATAATTATAGCGCTGACGAGGCACTAAAAAGCCACAGACACTGGCCTGAGGGGAAATAATGAGAAGGAGCCCACAGTAGAGCGAGGCGGTGTCTCTTCACTTTGACCCGCCCTCCTACACCTCACTCCGTAATCTTGGTCAGCTCCTGATAGGCTGAATAAAAACGGGGGTCAAAAAGGCGCCAACAGAGAAGGGGAAAAAGAAGCTCGGAGAACTGAGAGGAAGAGAAGGAGGGGCGGTTTGCGGGCAGGCGCGCTCGCGCACGCGCTTCCACTTTTTCCGCGTCCCTTGGGGGGGCGCGCGCCGTGGTTATGACGTAAGCCCACGGAAGTGGGCGAGGCCGTTTGGAATTTTGGCGCGAGAGCGGGGCGTTGAGGTTATTGCTGCTGCTGCGGTTGCTGTTTTTTTTTTTCGGGCGCGCGCCTTGGAAGGAGAAGAGGGCGGGCGGTCCGCCTGGGGGAAGAAAAGAGAGAGAACTCTTACTGGATCTCTCCCTCGCCGAAGAAATTTGGGAGGAAAAATAAAAAGGTTGGGAGAGGTAAGACACACCTTTACCTCATAACGTTGGGGTTGACATGTCTCCTGTCGATGGAGGCGCGGGTGGTGGAGGACACATCCTTTAATGTCGTCGGGGAAGCTGCTGCTGAGGTGGGGGTGGTGGAGGACACATCCTTTAATGTCGGGGAAGCTGCTGCTGAGGTGAAGAGAACATGCCCACCCCTTCTTTCCTGTGCACGGGATTGTGGTTTGTTCCTCTTTTTTTGGACGTATGTCTTTAATTGCATATAAGCTCCTTCCTGTGGGATTGTCTTCAGCAGCTCAGCCCCCTCCAGACATGCTGGACCACAGCTCCCATCATCCCCCGGCCAGCCTGGCCATTGTTTCCATGGCATATGTTTCGGCTCAGATGCCGTAGTTAAAGTACAGGAAGTAGGGGAATTGTGGTAAATGCTTGGCTGTAATAACTGACCTTTGAGGAGAGGTAAGAGGAAAGAGATGGCCTGAATACTGTATATTGGTGGAAAGGGGTGTGTGTGTTTTAAATATATATGCTCTGAGGGAGAAAAGGAGTTAGGAACACATCAGATGGATGAGGGTAATGGAGATGGAGGCTCATGGACGTTCATTCTTGTTCCTTATCTAGAATAGTAGCCCAATTTGGGGAACAGGGATTTTAAACTAGAGCAGAGGTGAATAGACTTCAGTCTTGCCAGCATCTGCTTTGTTTTGTTGTTGTTCTTTTCGTATGTGCAAAACACATTTAGAACTGAAGAATTCTGAGCCTGCGCCTTTGTTCTGAGTAGCAGAACTGCATTCAATGTCTATCACACAGTGGACACAAAATACACTCTTGGATTACTTCTCCCCTATCTTTCTTCATTTTGGCATATAATTCGGGGTGGCACTAAAGAGGAAAGTCATCTTGTTGCTTTTGCTACACTGCTGGCAGTTAGGTACATTTTTCTATCTACAAATACTGTAGAATCTCTATATTAGAATGATTGAGTATGAAGGGGCCTATAAGGCCATTGAGTCCAACTTCCTGCTCAATGCAAGAATATAAATCAAAACAGATTTGACAGATGGCTGTCCAATTTTCTCTTGAATGCCTCCAGCGCTGGAGCACTCACAACCTCCTGAGGTAATTGCTTCCATAGTCTTACTTCTCTAACAGTTAAGAAGTTTTTCCTGATATTCAGCCTAAATCTGGCTTCCTGTAACTTGAGCACATTATTACATGTCATGCATTCTGGGATGATTGAGAACCCTGCCCCTCCTCTGTATGACTACCTTTCAAATATTTGAAAAGTTCTATTGTATCTCTCATCAGCCCTTTATTTCTTCAGGCTAAACATGTCTAGTTCTTTCAGGCTTTGCTCATAGGGCTTCGTTTCCAGTCCCCTGATCATCCGTCTTCCCCTCCTCTGAACTTGTTCCTCTTTGTTGGCTTCCTTCTGAAAGTGCAATGTCCAGAATTGGACACATTATTCTCGATGAGGCCTTGTTGTTGGTAAGTCATGTCTGACTCTTCATGATCCCATGGACCAGAGCACGTCAGGACCTCCTGTCTTCCACTGCTTCCTGGAGTTGTGTCAAATTCATGTTGGTAGCTTCGGTGACGCTGTCCAACCATCTTGTCCTCTGTCGTCCCCTTCTCGTGCCCTCACACTTTCCCAACATCAGGGTCTTTTCCAGGGAGGCTTCTCTTCTCATGAGATGGCTGAAGGCTTGGAGCCTCAGTTTCAGGATCTCTCCTTCCAGTGAGCACTCAGGCTGATTTCCTTCAAAATGGATAGGTTTGTTCTCCTTGCAGCCCAGGGGACTCTCAAGAGTCTCCTCCAGCACCACAATTCAAAAGCATAAAGTCTTCAGTGGTCAGCCTTCTTTAAGGTCCAGCTCTCACTTCCATACATCACTACTGGAAAAAAACATAGCTTTGACTATGTGAACCTTTGTCAGCAAGTTGATGTCTCTGCGTTTTAAGATACTGTCTAGGTTTGTCATCGCTTTCCTAAGAAGCAGGCATTTTTAAATTTCCTGGCTGCTGTCACCATCTGCAGTGATCATGGAGCACAAGAAAGTAAAATCTGTCACTGCCTCCATATCTTCTCCTTCTATTTGCCAGGAGGTTATGGGACCAGTGGCTATGATCTTAGTTTTTTTATGTTGAGCTTCAGACCATTTTTGCACTTTCTTCTTTCACCCTCATTAAGTGGTTCTTTAATTCCTCCTCACTTTCTGCCATCAGAGTGGTATCATCTGCATATCAGAGGTTGTCAATATTTCTTCCGGCAGTCTGAATTCTGGTTTGGGATTCCTCCAGTCCGGCCTTTCGCATGATGTATTCTGCATATAAGTTAAATAAGAAGGGAGAGAATATACAGCTTTGTTGTACTCCTTTCCTAATTTTGAACCAGTCAGTTGTTCCATATCCAGTTCTAACTGTTGCTTCCTGTCTCACATATAGATTTCTCTGGAGACAGGCACTCCCATTTCTTTAAGAACTTGCCATAGTTTGTTGTGGTCCACACAGTCAAAGGCTTTTGCATAGTCAATGAAGCAGAAGTACAGTGTAGATGTTTTTCTGGAACTCTCTGGCTTTCTCCATAATCCAGTGCATGTTAGCAATTTGGTCTCTAGTTCCTCTGCCCCTTCGAAATCCAGCTTGTACTTCTACCTTAGGGGATTTTGAGCATAACTTTGCTAGCGTGTGAAATGAGTGCAATTGTGTGGTAGTTGGAGCATTCTTTGGCACTGCCCTTCTTTGGGATTGGGATGTAGACTGATCTTTTCCAATCCTCTGGCCACTGCTAAGTTTTCCAAACTTGGTGGCATATTGACTGTCACACCTTAACAGTGTCATCTTTTAAGATTTTAAATAGTTCAACTGGAATGCCATCACCTCCACTGGCCTTGTTGTTAGCCATGCTTTCTAAGGCCCACTTGACTTCACTCTCCAGGATGTCTGGCTCAGCGTCAGCAACCACACTATCTGGGTTGTCCGGGACATCCAGATCTTTCTGGTATAATTCTTCTGTGTATTCTTGCCACCGCTTCTTGATGTCTTCTGCTTCTGTGAGGTCCTTACCATTTTTGTTCTTTATCATGTCCATCTTTGCACAAAAGGTTCCTTTAATAACTCCGATTTTCTTGAACAGATTTCTGGTTTTTCCCTTTCTATTCTTTTCCTCTTTCTTTGCATTGTTCATTTAAGAAGGCCCTCTTGTCTCTCCTTCCTATTCTTTGGAAGTCTGCATTCAATTTTCTGTAACTTTCCCTATCTCCCTTGCATTTTGTTTCCCTTCTCTTCTCTGCTATTTGTAAGGCCTCATTGGACAACCACTTTGCTTTCTTGCATTTCCTTTGCTTTGGGATGGTTTTTGTTCCTGCATCCTGTACCATGTTATGAGCCTCCATTCATAGTTCTTCAGCCACTCTGTCCACCAAATCTAGTACCTTAAATCCATTCTTCTCTTCCACTGTGTATTTATAAGGGATTAGGTTTAGATTATACTTGAGTAGCCCAGTGGTTTTTTCCTACTTTCTTCAGTTTAAGCTTGAGTTTTACTATAAGAAGCTGATGATCAGAGCCACAATCCTACCACCCTCATGGGTGTGCTTAGTGGGGATATGGGAAAGGACCTGTCACTGCTCCCAAATTCTGGACCTCCCTTCCACAGGAAGCCAGACTGGCTCCATCTTTGCTGTCCTTCACCAAGGTGAAGCCCTTTCTTTTCAGGCAGGCTTTTCCTTAGTGACTGGTTGTCCAGGAGTGTTTTGTTAATGTGATGGTTTGTATTTTGTTGCTTCTAGATCTGTTTTAGTAATGCTTTTATCTAACATTTTTAATATAACGTTATTAAATCTTTTTTCATATTTGTATAATTTGCTGTTTTTAGCTTTTAATATTGTGTTTTCATTGATGTAAACTGCTTCCTTTTTTAGGAGAAAGGTGGGGTAAAATATTAAAATTAAAAAAATACATATTGTGCTTGTGGAATTTCAGGGCATGGCACCTCACTCTAAAAAACAGACCTGGATTAAGTGAACCATTGGTCCAATACATTGAGCTCCTGTTATATATTTGCACCCATATGGAACCACGGTCAGAGCATCCTAGCCTGATATTATAATTATAAATAATCTACCTGTCAGAGGTATTCCTAGGATAAAAGTGAGAAAGGGTAATACATGCACCTTGGATGTTTTTGGCTGTGGAATGAGCTAGAAATACACCCATAATTTTGTGCAGTGCCATAGTGTGCTATAGTTATTTTAAAAGCATGCAGCATATTCCTATATATATAGATAATTCTCACTTTTCTGGAAGACTAATTCAAAGGAAAGTATATATATATATAATTGCAACATCTCCTTTTCTTACAGATATTCAAGTAAGTTATGACAGATAATGCAAGCAAGGAACTTTTGGTGTAAATCAATACTTTCAAACTCTTCATATCTTCCTGTTCAGTGTTTCTTCTTTCTGTTATTCTGCTGACAACTTTGTTTGGCGTAACTGAGTGCCTCTAGAGATTCAGATTCTACACTTGTCAGTTTCATCTGAATGTCATGTGGTTTATCACTAAGGCCATTAGAAAACTCCATCATTGTTATTGATGGCTCCAGGACAACTACAGCAGATGGATGAAATACATCTTACCTCAAATGGCCTCTTCCTGAGACAGCAACCCACAGGGCATTGATCTTCAGCTGATTAGGGACATGACTCCTCGAGAATCCTATGACTGGCAGACAGAACCTTAAAACCTTAAAATGGGCACATTTCATAAAGGACAAATATAAACAGGTCTATATTGCAAAACAAGCTATAATTATCAGTCTGTAAGCATTCCATTTTTCTCTCCAGTGTGCTTTAGAGACTCTAATGTCAGTCCCAGCAGAACATAGCCTAAAAATACATCCCTTTTTATACTCTATTCTTTTTTATTCCTGACCCCTCCAATAACTCCTGAACTTTACAGATCCAGCACCAAAGAATTACTGTAGTCACATATCAGCCATAGAAGATGTTACCATTTAATCTTTATGACTACATTTTGCTTTCAGATATGCCAGTAGCTCTTGATTGTGCAGGGGCTGAGTCTCAACTGAGCCACACTCCTTTGCCAGTGCCTGCCTTCTTCCGGGAAGCAGAATGCAGCTTTTCAGTGAAGAGAGCCCGCCAGCCACTCAGTTATACCCTCCCTCCACGGCCACGACACAAAAGTACATTAACAGTGAGCCGAATTTTCTCTGACCGACGACTGCAGCCGTGGACCAGGCTCCAACCACGCAGTGTTTCATTCCATGCTACACAGAGACAAGAACCACTTCTGCGCAGCCGTCTGTATGATGCCTCCAAAAGAGAGCTGTTTTTCAGGCAGTGTTTCCAGCAGCTGAGCCGTCTGGGGCGAGGCTCTTTTGGTGAAGTGTATAAGGTGAGGCAGTGGCAGAAGTGCTAACAGTTTCTTAATGTGAGAATTTTCTGTTTTATGCCTGGTATAATTAAAGGAGTTTTCTAACACACTATGTGATAATACCTACTAGATTATAAAGCTTTAGAAAGGGATTTGGATTAAATGGAGGATATGTGTACCAGTGACAATTAGTTGTGACATCTACAATAAACCTCTATGTTCAGAAGCTGTACATCCTTGAATAGTAATTCATCTACAGACAGTGTGAACAGGCCATTGGCACCATACTCTGTGGACTTCTTCAGTGCATCTGGCAGACCATTATGGGAAACAAATTGCTGGATCAGAGAGACCTTAGCTTGTATCTATCAAAGCCTGTATAATTTGAGGCTCAGTTTTAGTTTAAAATGTGATGTATCTATTTGAAATTGTTTTTGTGGCAATTTCTTGTGTTTTAAATTCTCTTCCAACTAAAATATAGTACAGTACTTCAAATATCTTATATCTACTGTTTGCATTTAGGTTTTATTTGTTCTTATCTTTGACTGCCTCCAATTAGAATAAGTGGTGCACTTTATAGTTACATTATCATGTGCACAGTATGATGTGAATAGATTTTTCCCCTAGAACCTGTATATTCTTGCCATAGCATCACACCACCCTTGATCTGAGTTTGTTAGAGTTTCTTCTTCCACTGAGGAACAACTATGGTACCCTCTTCAGTATATGGGGCTTACAGGTTGTTTCATCTCTCTTTCAGGTACGTTGTAAGGAAGATGGACAGCTGTATGCAGTGAAACGTTCTGTGGAACCATTCCGAGGTGAAGGTGACAGACAGCGAAAATTGGCTGAGGTGCGCAAGCATGAACGTGTGGGGCATCACCCCAACTGTGTGAGCTTCATACAGGCCTGGGAGGAGCGTGGACAACTCTATATCCAGACAGAGTTGTGCCCAGGCAGCCTGTTGCAGTACTGCGAACAGTATGGGCCACTGCCTGAATGGCAAGTACAGGCATTCCTCTGGGACTTGCTTCAGGGTCTACATCACCTACATAGCCGCAATCTCTTGCACATGGATGTCAAGCCAGCAAACATCTTCCTCTCATCTAGCAACATCTGTAAACTGGGTGATTTTGGGCTTATGCTGGAACTGGACTCCGGAGATCTGAGTGATGCTCAAGAAGGAGATCCCCGCTACATGGCTCCTGAGTTGCTCCATGGAGAGTACACCAAAGCTGCTGATGTCTTCAGGTGTGGGATGAGATGAGAAAGAGGGGAACCAAGATGGCAACTAGCCTTCCACTTGTGGCTCTTGCCCTCGGTCTCATAAAAAAACTTGCTAGAAAAGATGCAGTAATCCAATAGTGCTTTGATTTGTTCCAGTCTCTGATTTGTGTTTCTTTCATTCCAGCCTTGGCATTACCATCTTAGAGATTGCCTGTAACATGGAGCTCCCCAATGGAGGCGAAGGCTGGCAGCAGCTACGACAGGGTTATATGCCCCCTGAGTTTACTGCAGGTACATGGAAACAAAGAAGATGTATGTTTACCTGGTAGTTGCCAATGGAGGGATTCTGCCAGTCACTCTAGGAAGCAGGCAAACTGAGAAGTGGCAGTTGAAAACAGGAGGGTTAAGGGAGAATACTGGTGGCATGAAAAATTCTGTATGTTGCAGAAAGCAAGGCAGGTACTGTATTGTGAATATTCTTGGCCTTTCCAGATCTTTCTTCTGAGTTGCGGACTCTTCTGGCTGCCATGTTGGAGCCAAACCATCAGCTCCGTCCATCAGTGGAAGCACTGCTCTCTTCCAGCCTCATGCAGAAGACTGCAAGATGGCGAAAGTTGATGCTGCTGGCACAATCTGGGATTCAGCAAGGGATTTCCATATGCAAGGTGAATATGAACCTCGCCAGAGATAACCACAGTGCTAATCTGCAGTTTTCCTTGAGTATATGGTACTGCAAAGACACCACCTTCCTTGAGTTGTGGCATGTATTTTAGTTTTTTCCTGTTTTACAAGCCTGATTTATCTTCCTGATAAACACCTTTTATCAATTTGTTCTTCTAGTCTATAGTGGGTTTTCTTGTTTTGAAAAATGAATGGCTCTGACAATATACTAGACACTTATGTCACTTTTTTGTGTGACAGATTGCCAGTTGAGAAAGTGTCACTGCTCACTGTGTGGTGTTGGAACCCTTTTCTGATGTCTTCCTTCCCTGGTATTCAGTACTCAGTTCTTTCCTCCCACTCATTTCAGACCCTCCTCAGGTTCATGCAGTGGCTCTGGAATACTCTGTGCAGCCCAGCTCATTGGCTGTTTTTCTGGCATCGGAATGTTCCAGTTACACCTCCGCATTCCCCCTGTCTCCTTCCTTTGGAAGACAGCAGCCTTTCTAGTGGCTGGGGTGAAGAAGAAGAAGAAGATATAGAAGAAAGCCTTGGTGAAGATGTATTTGAGCTAATAGAGACATCTGAACATGACAACTGCATTTACCCAGTTGATCTGCAGTCCTCAGACCGGTGAGTAGATTAGACCTGGATGGAGAAAAGGCATGCCCACTCTTCTGTTGCTCTAGCCAATCTTCTGTAGAGATTGATCTAGAGAAGCAGTCTTATAACATGACTTTATACAGTATATGCAGAGTCCTTGTATAGCAATCATCCTTAGATGTCCACATTTCCAAAATCTTTGTGCAAGCCATATTCTTTATGAATTCTGCATTGTTTATTTTACTTAATCTGTGTTTTCATAAATGTTGAAGTTTATAGGTTTAAAATTGGTTTATTGTAGCAGCTTTCAGTTTATCTTCTATACTGCATGTTAAAATTCTTTTGATTTTGTACCATGTAATGTGCTTTCATGTGTCGTCCCCCCCCATACAGTGGAATAAATAAATGATCTAGGTATGATTTTCTTTTTTTCTTTACATATGTATACTGCATTACTCTTATAATGTGAAACAGATCCTAGCCATGGTATTCTTTGAGAAAATATTTGGTTCCATAGCATGTTGATTATACCCAGTAGCCTACTTATAGTTCTGACAATCTAGAGCTCCAAAAGAGGGGTGGATATTGGATAACACAACTTTTTTGAGCTTTCCTTCCTCACATTTCGAAAGCAATGGTCTCTATTAGTCATGAGGCTTCAGATTATTAATCTCAAATTGAGAAATCTTTGTGGTTTCAGTCCACATTTTGTGAGTGGATTATTGTCACTGCTGCTTAAAAATCTGAATCTATTTCACTGTACAGTTCTAATTTCTGTTTCTGTAGCATAATCAATTGCTACAGAAACAGAGAATTTGCTATTTCAGCCTGGGTTTTGCTTGTTTTGAACTATACTAAACATGGCAATCTTCTCATAAATAAATTTTGCTTATTCAAGTTACTGCTCTTTGTACCTGTTCCTGTTTGCAGTCCTCTTCTCATAGGTAAACTCCAAAAGGGACACGAGAAGATGATTTGCCAACTACCTTTTCAAAAGAAAATAAATGCAACAGCAAGAAATGCTCAAGCATGTACTTTTAACACAGGAAGCTCATTCAGACACATGTTGGAAGTTCCCCATCCACTTCTCCAACATGTATTGAATTCCTTTTGGCTTCTACTAGCTTCATTAATTTAAAGCTGATGATTAGTATATACAGATATTTTCAAATTGTTTTCTTTTCAGACTGCCTGATTCTCCAATGCTAAATGTATGCCAATGTGCAGGAAACACCTCCACACCACGGCACCTCTCTCCTCAGCTGACGAGTGGCAGGAAGAACAGGTGAGCTGTTGGCCAAGGAGTGGCAGCAGGGAGACTGAAACTGAACTCCTGGAAGGGACATAAGAATGCAGAATGTCGACATATGTTAATGTCTCAGCCAATGAGTAAATCCATAGTACTAGGCTAACTTCTGTAATTGGCATACCTTCAATGCTGTAAAGCACTATTTCTCAACCAATCGCACACATGATGCTGTAAGGACATAGTAGTAGTGTAGGTGGTATTTGTAACAATTATTAAGAATTCAGCCTTCTCAATCACCATTTCCTGCAAGTGTAACTTATCTCCTCTGACCTTTTGGTGTACTAACAGTAACTTTGGACACTGTGTTTCTCCTGATCTCACAGTACTGTTGCCCACCAATTTAGAGTAAATGTTAAATACAGTAGAATACAGTACTTGTATATGTATACATGTCCTTCTTAGGGGAAGAGGGCTTTGTGTTTCTATCATGGTGGCAGTTGGGTTCTCTGATAGAGCAACTGATGAGACCCAAGCTTAGAAGTAGTTCTGTAGATATCGTTCTCTAAGCACCAAGGCATTGCTGAGTTTTAGTTACTATGATGTTTTGTTGCCATGTGTGTTGTGTTTTGTTCCCCACTGCCAAGTGGAGATCTGGACCCCACCACCCAAGCTGTTTTCAGCTCACCTATTTTTTCTATTTTTGCTGATCCCTTGCAGGTCTTTGGTTCTTCAAGATAGCCCCAACCTCAGCTATATCAGCCCCAAATCCCCAAGCAGCAGTCCTACTCCATCAGACTCACAGCCTGCAAACAGCCTGCGCCGCACACTAGTGTTTGAGGATGATGACGAGGAAGATGAATGGGAGGCAGCTGTTCACCAGTGTTCTAATCAGTCATCCAGTTTTGAACCAAAAAATCTGTTGAGCTTGTTTGAAGATTCCATTGCATCTGAGGAGAAATGCCAGAGCTGAGGGGGAGTTTGGTTCATTGATTACAGGTTTGCTTGAGCCTCTTGGTGGGTATGTGGAGGAGCCCCTCCAGGTGGTGCTATGCAGGTGGTCAGTATGTTGAGGGGCTGAGCTGTGACATATTGCTCAGCAAAGGGGTAGCAGAAATTCTAGGGATCCTTCCCTGTGCATATCTTCTCTGCTTGAGCCCCAAAGTGATGCAGTTTTTGAGATGCAGATATTTACTTTCAGGGGTTTAAAACAGTATCTGGTAATAGGCAGTGGAAAGCAGTTGGTATGATCGGAGGTCACTTGAGGGTAAAGGAATCCCTCTTTTATATGAGAATGTGGGTTGAATGCATAATGTACACATTTCCTTTTTAAGATTTGTCCCTCTTGTTTGTAGGTCATAGATGTGCTGCTATTTGTGGGATGTGGCTTGGGGACATATAAACTTATTTTCTTCTATTCTGGCATTTTTCAAAAGGTGGCAGGTATAAGACTTGACAATAAAAGCATTTAGAAATTTCCACTGAATGTTGTATGTTTCTCTTCTGTAGATGTGACTTGGCTGTAGTCTGAGTTAGAACCACATACAGAGAGAAGACCGATGTGAAAGATCGTTATTCAAAGCCAAATTGAATTTTCAAAAAGGGAAACCAGTGCTTGAAAATCACTTGCTGTAGACAAAAAATATACAAGGTGATGGGTTGTTTTTAAGCAAAAACTTTGAAGCCTTAAAAAGACAAATGTTGCTTTCAGAAATGTCTAGATAGGGCACAAAGCACCTCTCTGAATTAAATGCTAATTCATGCCTTCTGTCTCCCCTCTGCCTTTGTATTTTAAGACATGTCTTGAGTAGCCTAACTAGGAGTGAGATAATGTGTTTTTGAGCTGGGTGGACTTTATGTACAGTAAATACTTGTACACTTCTGGAAGCTCATACAGTGCATCTACAAGATTTTGCTGGTTGTATAATTGTGATTTTAAGCTACAATCTTACATTTTTGTAGAATCTAGAAAACTAGGCTACTTGTATTTTGCTTATTGACATTAATTAAAAGAATTCCATTTCTCACTTGCTGAATGTGTGCAATTCAGTCCAATCACATAACTTAAAATACAGTAGGAAATAGTTGCAGCATCAATGTACTTGGGCAGCTGCATCCATCAGCCAGTGGTCATGCATTCCCACAACCTGGGGATGGGGCACCTGTGGCCTTCCCCTTGCTGATGGACCCCACCCAACCAATCCCAAGTGCTGTGGCCAATAGTCAAGAGTGGTAATGCAACAGGTCACCTACTCCTGCAAAAAATAACTGGCCCAAGTGTAGACCCATGGCCAAAGTTTTTAGCTCCAGACATGTGGAAGGTGCTGGATTGATGTTAAAGACAACTCCTTCAATGTGCCATGAAGAAACAGCTGTGTAGAAGAGAGTGTAACCATCATTTCGGGAGCCTTCTGAAGAATACAGGGGGGGAACCAAATACCACTTATGAAAAGCCAGGAAAAAGATTAGTTTTGCTTAGACATTTCTTTATTAGAAGCCCAGACCTACTATTTGTACAACAGAAGGTTCTGGACCATAAGCACCTACAGTTCCCTTCTTTCTCTTTCCTGCATGAAGTGCATTTTTAAAAGTTGGGTGCCTTGCTGTTTTATTTGAAAGAGATATGTAGCTTCAGCCCAAAGAAGCTGCGAACATTAACCATGTCCGTCTACCCTGAGATAACAAGACTGGGCTGGGAGCAGGGGAATGCCCAGACCAAAATAGCAGCACAGAAAAGATGCTTCACATCCCAAAACTGGAGGCTTAACTCAGTCCTTTACTCCTCATAATGCACACCTGCACAGTCATTAAAATGCATCCATCTTCTGCATTGGCAGAATGCAATCATTGATGAACAAAGAAGGCCTAAATTTGGTATTTTCCCCTACTGAAGCTGAAACATAATAACTGCCTCAATGCAATGTGCCTCACGCTTCCATTTCAGCTGCTGTGTTGTACTTGGTCACTCAAACTTTTTATCTGACAGTCAAATCACTGTTCTCAGCATGACTGAGATACGGATGAACATAACATGCACTTGCAGGAAACTTTTAATAAAAAGCCAAAACCTAGACTCCACTCTGTCAAAGAACAGATATCTTACTATGAGGTGTGTTTTGTTTTGTTTAGATACCTTTCTCATTTGCACTGAGTGAGCACCTAAATTATGGGTCAGCAGGTAAGGGTCCTGGGCCAAATTCAGGTACCTGAAGAAAATGCCCAGCCTCCCAGTTCCTAGCCTGGGGGCAAGAAAGGAAAAGGGGAAGAAGGTACTAGCAGTGCATGTGCGTGTTCATGATAACTGCAGTTACAGCAGCAACAGCCACTAAGAGATGAGAAAGGGGGGAAGCTCTTCCAAAGTAACACTAAAGTATGAAAAGCACCTGCTCTGGTGGAAGTCTAGTTGGGGAAACATTAGTAGGAGGACAAAATCTAACCCAAGGATGGACATTCTGAACTGAATTCCAACTATATTCATCAGGAACTGAAGCATGCTGCAAGGGAGCCCTAGTCCCAAATTTGATACAAATAATGAGAAATAGAAACCTGGACTTATGAATTTCCACTCCAATCCAGTTTCAAGGCCCCTAATGGCCCCCTTTGGAATAGGGGGAGATGCTGGTTCAAGTGCTTCAAGTCAGAGCAAATTAACGTACAAGAGAGCATCCCTCCCTCAATGAACTGGTTAGTTATATGCCACCTATTTCTTTCCTCAAGGTCTTTAACATTGTTCAGTGCAGCTGACCTTGATATCCAGGTGTCTAACCAGCCCTTATTTAAAAAAAAATAAGAAAATATTGCATGATGTCTGAAAGATTCCCAGATAAAAAGTCTATTTAAATATCTTGTTTCTATGAAGCACAGAAGCTGTACTCAAAACAAGCATCTCCTACTAAATCACTCTTACCAGTGCATATTTCACCATAAAAATAGGTGAAAATAATGTCCATGTAATGGTATTCTCTCTTAATCACCACCACATCAGAAAAAAGTCTAGCTCTGCTAGCAAGACCTACAAGTGACACGAACGACTTATATTAATGCAAAACCATCATTAGTAGAGTCAGTGACTCCTGACAAGTTATGAGGCTGGGTGGCAACAAGCCAAGCCATTCCTTAATTAAATCATTTTTACCCACCCCCATGGTGGTAATTTGGAAGAACAGGGAACACCACTAGCTGACCTAAAAACACCTCAATCAATGGGAAACCATTGCTATTCACCCAGAAGTATCCAAATTCTCTAAATGTTGACCCCATGAGTACTCAACCAGTGGGAAACCATGATCCCAGGAGGAAGAAATAATCCTAAACCCTGTTCTAAGTAGATGGTTTCCAGGATGTACGCATGAACTTCTTTGTTCAATTCAGCCCTTGTAGAAGACTTTGAACAACGATACGTAACAGCCCACACCTCAGAAGTCTCCCACATCTCAATCTGTGGGGTTCTCCTGTAGAAAAGGCTGGTCTAGACATGATGTTGTCATTCCATTCAGCAGATATTGTTGGCAATCCACTGTAGATCAGCCACTACCCCCCAGTGTAAATACAGGATGCTGACTACCACTAGGACATGCATAATCTGATGGCTATTGAACCAGTAGTCAAAATGGCCCGGCTTCCAGCGCTCGGGCACCCGCGAGATGTTGATGACTCCCCCAAGGAAGGCCAGACCATCCATTATGAGGTATGAGCGCAACGATGAAGGGTGTCCAGTGCCTAGTCCCACCCAGCGCAGATAGAAGAAGAAGAAGCGGAACAGGGCCTGCCAGGCAAAAGACCGCAGGCGCCGGACACTAGAGCGGGCAGTCACTGCACAAAAGATGCCGTAGCTTGATAAACCAGTGTAGGCAAAAAGGGAAATAGTGCGGAGAATTGGGGAGCAAGCCAGCGTGCAGTAGATGATTGGAAGAGCACCTGCAGGAAACAAGAGAGACAATCAGTCAGTCTACTGAAACACTGAAAGGACAAAGCAACTGGTCATCAGAGCCTGCATGTACAGTTTCCAGCACCCCTTCATACCTTCTTGGAACAGACCTACTTCATCTAGAGCTGGGAAAAGTTACTTCTCTGAATGGTAGCATCCAGTATCTTCCTCTAGTTAATGGTTCTAGGAGTTGCAACCCCAAAAGGTAACTTTTTTCAGTGTCCAATTTGATCTCTAAGCCTCTGAAGAACCATTCAATTTTACATTTGCCCCAATTGTACCTATCCTCCCTCCTTTCCCCAGATTTTCTACCACCATCAAATCAAATGAGAAGAGGTTCACAGCAAAACACATTTATATGTATGTTATATCCCAGTTAAATCCCTGGTGTCTCCAAGCGATTTGGAGGCAAGCCATGGGAAAGGGAGCACGGTATTGGAGAGCTACTGCCGGTAAGAACATACAGTCATGGCCAAAAATATTGTCACCCTTGCAATTCTGTCAGAAAATGCAACCCTTCTCTCATAAAATTGTTGCAGTTGCAAATGTTCTGGTACTCATATGTTCATTTCTTTGGTTTGCATTGGAGCAACACACACACAAAAAAACATAAAGTCAAATCTGATACAATCCCACGCAGAAACCCAAAAATGTGCTGGCCAACATTATTGACACCCTGTCTAAATTGTAAGAAATAACTGCTTTTCAAGCATGTGATGCTCCTTTAATTTGTATTTAGACACACCTGTCTCAAGTAAAAGGTGTGGGCAATATAGTAATCACACTTGCAACCAGTTAAGATGGAGAAAAGATGACTCAACCTTTGTATTGTGTGTGATACTGAGCATGGAGAAAAGAATGAAATGTAAAGAGTTGTCTGGATTTGAGAGAGAAAAATTGTGGAAAAACATCGACAATCTCAAGGCTACAAGTCCATCTCCAGAGATCTTAATGTTCCTGTGCCCACTGTGTGCAATATCATCAAGAGGTTTACAGCCCATGATACTGTAGCTAACCTCCCTGGACATGGACGGAAGAGCAAAATTCCTGAAAAATTACAACGGGTTGTTCGAATGGTGAATACAGAACCCAGGTTAAGTTCCCAACAAATTCAAGCTGATCTGCAGAAACAGGGTATAACAGTGTCAGCTCGCACTATCTGTCGCCATCTGAATGAAAAGGAACGCTATGAAAGGAGACCCAGGAGGACACCACTCTTGACACAAAGGCATAAAAAAGCAAGACTGGAGTATGCCAAAACTTATGTGACAAAACCACAATCCTTCTGGGAGAAAGTATGGTGGACAGATGAGACAAAAGTAGAGCTTTTTGGTCAAGGACCAAGGACATCATGGCACTGTTTACAGAAAAAGAAATGAGGCATTCCAAGAAAAGAACACAGTCCCTACAGTCAAACATGGTGGAGGTTCAAAGATGTTTAGGAGTTGCTTTGCTGCTTCTGGCACTGGATGTCTTGACTATGTGAATGGTGTCATGAAATCTGATGATTACCAAAGAATTTGGGGGCACAACATAGTGACCAGTGTCAGAAA